CAGATCTCTACAATTTTCATAAAAGATCTTGTGCTGATCGAAATATTGAGATGAACAAAATCTGAATGGAATCGGATATTGATTTCACGTTTTATGAGCTTCATAGATAATAAAAATTTTGACCCTTTGTGGGGGAGGTACCAGAAGAAGTGGGCCGATATATTCCGTTTCACACCAGACTATGGGTTCATAAAAATATTGTGGTGTGTGTAATTTGAAGACAATCGAACTCCTATATCACATTTTATAAGAGTTATAATAATTCAAAATGTTGACCCTCTCAGGGGGAGGTACTTAATGGAGTGGACCGATATTGTCCATTTTCGCACCTGACCTAGCACTGATGCTAATATTAAGATTCGCAATGAGAGCAAAACCGAATTATCGTTTCTCTGCCTGTGCAGGAATTTATTTTTTTTTTGTTATCCAAAATTGTGGACCTATATTGCCCATCTCCAAACTCGATCTAAGTTCGATAATAATATTTCAATGTACCAAGTTTGGATCAAATCGGAAATTTCCTTCGAGAGTTATCGGGCGCACCAGCCAGCAGACGGACATAGACACAAGATCCACTTCAAGTGTCCTGAAGCGGATTTGTCCATAGAGACCTAAGGTCTAAACTCGTTATTTCGATGAGTCTCCTGCCGCTCAAATTAGAACGAGTTTCACTTTTTATTTGAATTCGAGCGAGTTCTTTCGATGTCTGCTCTGTATACAGTTTAATTTAAAAGTTAAGATCATGTTGCATACTTTTCGGCTGTTTAGAAACTAATTTAATCGAAAATTTATTACGAAATGCGGACTTTTCTAATTTTGAGTTAAAAAAAAATATTGTTCGGTCAGGCAGATATCTTCGAAGACAAAATTTTTAAATGACGAATTATTTTTCAAGTTTTCCACTAACAATTGACTTTTTCATATTATATTCTATGTTTTTATTTGTTTTGAAAATCATTAAAAATGCATTAAATTTTTATGACTGTTCATGAATATGTTTGTGGTAATGTTGTTTTCTAAACGAAAAAAGGAATTGAAACTCTAACAATGTTTTATTTTTTTGTGGCGAGATTTTTTGAGATTCGATGTAGGTTTTGGTTTTTTCCTTCGCAACTTACCAAGGTGTAAATGAGCTCCAGAAGAGACTACATTTGGCGAGTTATTAATGATATTAAAGGGGAAAACGTTTGTTTGATTTGATTTTTTGTTGTTGTTGTTGTTAAATGTGAAAACGTAGATTTAAACGATGTTTGTTTTGATATTAAATTGTTGTGAAGTCAACGAACGGCATTTTACACATGAGGACAAACACAGTTTTTTGTTAAGACAGGACATTAACAATTTAAAAACAATTGAAATTAAATGTTGTTGATTTTTTTTTTTTTTGGTTTTTTGTTTTGGTTTGAAAAAAAGACAGAAACAAATACAAAAGATGTTTTTTAGTTAGCACAAAATAATTAACATTTAGTAGGGAAATCAAAAAATTAAACTCAAAAAAATAAATATTTTTTTTTTGGTTATTTGTAATTATTAATACTTTTTCTTTGTTAAATAGCTATGAAATAATGATATGGTAAGGAAAAGGCCAGCCATATATTTGGCTGTTTTTATCAAAAAAAAAAAACAGAAAATTTTAGAACAAACAAAAAAATTAAGAAAAAAATTGAAAACAAAATTGAAAAAAATAAAAAAAAACATTTGACACATTTTATTTATATATACGACTAAGACATATACATTGACATGAATGCTCGGAAAATTTCTGTCTTTTTATGTTTCAAATAGATGACCCTAAAAACTGTTTTTTTTTTTTTTTTTCTATAGCTGGTTAGTTAAGATTTCAATATTTTATGGTATATATAGAAAATAAGTTAAAAATTAAAAATATTCATAAAAACTGAAAATTTTTTAGACACGCACAAGTTAAGGAACTTAAAAATAATCGTTAAATAACTGTTAATTTTTTTTGACGAAAAACATGTTTTAGGTCCTTGTTGTTAATTTCGTTTTGGTTCTGCTTGCTACGTACACGGTGCTACAGGGAAAATGTTCATATAATATGAAAGGGAATTTTCAATTTTTTCCACGTTTTTTTTTTCATTTTTTGAACGAAAATGATCCAGCTTAAATTAAAAATTATTTTGACAGACAAGTGCATTTTCTCTACCCTCCACCAATTTGTCATTCCATTTGCAACACCTCAAAATATAAATGTTAGACCCTAATGTATATACATTCCCGCTTCATCGGGAATGGGCCAAAATACCGCAAAGCAACATTCGGGCAACGTGTGACGGTTTTATTGACCGTTTAAAAGCCATAATGTCAAAGGTGACCAATTCGAACAAACGTATTCTAAAATGTGATGCTATTTCCCACATTTTATGCTTTCATTCAATAAAATTTAAAGAAAAAATAATAAAAAATAAAAGAAAATTAAAAAAAAGTTGCAGTTTATTTTTATCTCACTCTCTAGGTAGAAGACCTACAGCAGTTTGCTACGAAGAAGACCTACCGCAGGTCTTCTAGGAAGAAGAACTACAGCAGCTCTTCTAGCCAAAAGAACTACAGCAGATCATCTAGGAAGAAGACCTACAGCAGCTCTTCTAGACCTAGAAGACCTACAGCAGCTCTTCTAGGTCTAGAAGACCTACAGCAGCTCTTCTAGGCCTAGAAGACCTACAGCAGCTCTTCTAGGCCTAGAAGACCTACAGCAGCTCTTCTAGACCTAGAAGACCTACATCAGCTCTTCTAGGTATAGAAGACCTACATCAGCTCTTCTAGACCTAGACGACCTACATCAGCTCTTCTAGACCTACAAGACCTACATAAGCTCTTCTAGACCTACAAGACCTACAGCAGTTCTTCTAGACCTAGAAGACCTACGGCATTCTGGACCTAGAAGACCTACATCAGCTCTTTTAGACCTAGGAGACCTACATCAGCCCTTCTAGACATAGAAGACCTGCATCAGCTCTTCTAGACCTAAAAGACCTACATTAGCTCTTCTAGACATAGAAGACCTACAGCAGTTCTTCTAGACCTAGAAGACCTACAGTAGCTTTCTTAGACCTAGAAGACCTACAGCAGCTTTTCTAGACATAGAAGATCTAAATCAGCTTTTCTAGCCCTAGAAGACCTATAACAGCTCTTCTAGATTTAGAAAATCTACAGCTCTTCTGGACCTAGAAGACCAACAGGTCTCATAGCCCCATATAACTGTATCACCTCATATTCGATTTTTTTAATTTTAGCGGTAATTTTATAAATTATTTGCTTACATAACAAATGGTGGAGGGTAACGGCATGGCTGAACTTAGATACTTTTTTACTTGTTATTCGATTTTAATGAATTTCCTTCTAAAGTCTCTCCAATGATTTTCTCCTTCAATACTATATGTTTCATTTTCTTTGTTGTAGCACTGTGTTAATAATAAATTTTAAATATATTAAAATATATAAAATTTTGTTATTAAAAAAATTATTTTTTTTCTTTTGAATTGAAAAAAAATTAACTTAAAACAACAACAAAAAAGTTTACATAAAACATAAAATATAATAACTAGCTTATTTATATACTTATTTGTAACAAAAGTAGAGAAAACTAAAATCAATAACAAACTGTCAACAGAAATAAGCAAATAAAAATAAACAAAATTTTGTTAAATTAAAAAAAATAGATATTTCAAAACCTAAGATTTTTCAAATGTATTTTGTTTTACATTATATTTCCCTTTTTTCATGGCTGTAAGTATTTCGTTTCTTTTCATAATTTCCATTATTGTAGTTGTTTTGTTTTTATTTTGTTTTTTTTTTTTCAGGGTAAGACAAACACAAGGAGGTAAAACACTAGACAACACACATACTCAATGAGGTGCTATCATTATTTTCGCTTTGGATTTTTTCAATAAAAACAATTTAAAACAAAATTCCACAACAAAATTAAGAATTTGAAAAAGATTTGTAGAATAAAAAAAGAAATGATAAAAGACAAAAAATATTTGCTTCTCATATTTTTTTTTTTTGGTGTCACAAAAACCCTAAAAAGTTAGGCAAGAAAAGAAAAAGCTCAAACCAAAAAAATCTAGTTTTTTTTCGCTTCGCAATTTGCATTTCAATTTTTTTCTCAAATTAAGAAAAATAAAATCAAAACGGAAATTAACAATTCATTATGAGGATAGTTGTTGTTGTTGTTTTTTGTTAAACATAAATCAAATCAAACAAACCTAAAAAATAAAAACACATATTCCAACGCATAAATGATAGACTCATTGAGGGGACTTGGTGGGGATATAAAAAGGATTTGTTTGGGGGTTTGGTTTGATAATCGTTTTTTTGCACTGGCTTTAGTTTTCATTTACAAAAAAATCAATATGTATTGTTTTCATATTTTTTTTATTAAAATTAAAAAAAAAAATAAAAACCATAACTTAAAAAGTAAACACATTTTCCATAAATTTTGTGACTGAATTAAATGGATTTTCCAAAAATGAAAACAATATAAAATCGAAGAATAATAAAAATAAATATTTGAGCTTTTTCTCTTCATTGCACCAGTGTTTTTTTTTTTTTTGCACTTAAGAATTCAAAAATTCCTCTAGAAAATGAAGTAATTTTTGTTTTTTTTGTTGGTGTTAAAAACTAAAATAAAATAATTTGTCCTACAAAAAATGTTGGTGCATTCATTAAAATTGAAACCATTTGAATTTGAAAAAATCAAATAAAAAAATTATGTAAATATATCTCTTAAAATAATTATATGTATATATCAAACTAAAAGCGTTTTGGCAAATTTCTCCTTCTTTTTTTGGCATTAAATCAATATTTGTTCAGTAGATCTTTTTTTCTAATAAATTTTAATTTTTTGCTTTGCTTTCTTTCACTAAACTGTATAAATATATATTCTATGTATACATATGTATAAATACCAATATATATAATGTATAAAAGAAATATATATATGTAAACAAATATATAAATTGAAAACTTTTTGTACTCACTTTTCACTGTACTCATCCATGTGGGCATATGATTGCACCGAATTCTCTTCAATCAAAAATTTGACACGTTGATAGAATGATGCCGTCACCGAGGGTGGCTGTTTACGTAACAGCACCTCAACCGGATCATTTGAGGATAAACACATAATATGCTCGGAACAGGCTGGATGCGAACAACACTCACTGTCGGAACAATCAGTCATACCGTCTGAAAACAAAAACAAAACAAACAAAAGAAGATGAGGAGAAAAGCGTTGATGAAAAGTGTAGGTTTAATATGGCAGAGTAGAAATTAAAGTCTCGTGTTACTTGTTTTTTCGGAGACTACACACACAGGCATTACATTTCTCTAATGGCATTTTTTTTCAAACACAAAAAAAAAACAAAATTCATAAGTGTATTAAAATAAGATGGATGATTCTAATAAGTAAACCCAAAACATAATATAACACACATGGGCATTTCAAAATTAGTAACCATAATGGACATTTCAATATGTAAAAAATTTTAAGGCAAACATTTTAAGCGGATAGCTGTGTCAACTCCCGAATAATCGCCTTTCGATACTTAAAAGATTGAAATTAGTTAAAATCACCTCTTTTGTTGTCAAATTTTTAAAGTCAAATTTTTAAATCTTTATAGGGATTTTTGTTTTCCAGATGCTATTTTAGCCCAAAAGTTTCAAACATTCTCCCATAATTTGTTGTCAAAACTTCAAATCATGAACAATTTTTACATTCAAGAAATTTGTAGATAGAGGCAAGAAATTTAATCAGAAAAAAAAAATACGATGATTTTAATACGAGCTTGGCATCAGAGCATCGATTTGCTCATTTGCACTCGGGTAGGAAACTTGCTCGTGAGCAAGATTGCTCATAGAGTGGGAGTTTTATATGGAGTTAACTCTTCATTATTTTGCTTTGTATGGGAGCACTCCCGAGTCACTCCTCTTTCAAAATTAGAGTGGGAGCTGAATTGCTCGAAAGTGAGTGAGAGTTTACTCTAAGAGAGTAATCGAGTAGAATTAAAACGAAGAGTGGGAGTTTAATATTGGGTAAAGTCGTCATTCTTTAATTTTAGATGAGAGTCGGAAGTGCTCCTCCTCTTTCAAAATAAGAGTGGGAGCCGAATTGCTCAAAAGAGAGTGAGAGTTTACTGTAAGAGTAATCGAGTGCAATGAAAACGAAGAGTGGGACTTTTATATGGAGTTAACTCTTCATTATTTGCTTTTGTATGGGAACACTCCCGAGTCACTTCTCTTTCAAAAATTAGAGTTAGAGCCGAATCGCTCGAAATAGAGTGAGAGTTTGCTCTAAGAGTGAAATCAAGTGGAAAAAGTTTTTTTTTTAATTTATTTGTGAGTGTTTGCCAAGCCAATCTTTTAATATCCTCTAACATTTGAAAGGAACTTAAAAAAATTCGATAAATACCGTTTAAATTATGACCTTTATACGGGGGCTATAGGAAGACGTGGACCTGCACAAGTAATTTTTCATGTCATAGGCTGTAGTACCCATTACAAACTTCGAATACGAAATTTGAAATCGGGTGAATAGTGTCATCAAACTACTAAATATCGGGAGGTACCGTTATATGGGGGCTATACAAAGACGTGGACCGACATGGCCCATTTCCGAACGTAACCTGCCTACTGGCAAAATACACATGCGCGCAAAATTTTAACATTCTATACCAATTGGTTCAAAAGAAAGGGTTATAACAATAGAGAGAGAGAGAGAGAGAGAGAGAGAGAGAGAGGGAGAGAGAGAGACAGACGGGCAGAGAGATAATTCGACTTAGAATTTTACGTAGAATTTGTTGATTTTCGAACGATTTTTGCTTCCACTCTAAATCGAGCAAAGCATGCGAAAAAAGGAATTTCACTCCAAGGAGTGCTCCCGCTCGGCTTCGAGAAAGTTTTACTCGAATTCGAGCGAGTTTTTCGGAAGTATGCTTGGGATACCTAAAACGATTTCCGAATTAAATTTTGTTATTGACAAGGGCAATATTTCCGATGTAGCATTTTGGATCGCCAACATTTTAAAATCATATTTTCAAAATACTATTAAGAATTTCGGTCTATTTTTTGTTATCCGATTTTTTTGGTTCAATGTCGCTAGCTTAATCTGTAAGAAAAATGTGAGAAGTAAAGGGTGATTTTTTAGCTATCTTTTTGGCATCACGTGTTTGGAAAATTGGCCGGAGATTCAATTTTTAATGTAGAGGAAATGGTGATATGTATTTAACGAAGTTAAAAAATTTTTTCTTATACCAAAAAAGGTGCTTTCGTTCCCAAGATATTTGTGGGAGAAATATTTTACATATTTAAAAAAAAATTCTTATATCAATCCCAAACATTTCCTCAAAAAAACTCTGCTTCATTCAAAAAGTTTCTTGATCAAAAGAAATAAACAAGGACGACATGTTTCCACACACATACCATGTCTCACACAAGCACGAGCATTATGTTAAAGGTCCTTTTATACTACTACCACTGCTACTACTGTGTTTATGGAGTATGTCGATTGTATTGTCTTGTTTATTGAACAAATACACGAAGGGTTAATATTTAAAACATGTCTTACTTGAGAATACGTGATCCAACCTGGCACTGGTACCTATGGCAACCTCTTAAGTCATACCTGACTCACGTAAACACTTCAGCATCTATATGGATGATGTGTACTTCACATCATGTCAAACGTACGCACATGTTTGCCAGTTTATGTGAGCATGAAATTGGGTGTGTGTGTGTGCATAAGTGAAATATGTTATTGTAAAGGTATTTCACATAACATGAAACAAACATGAAGAGCAAAGAACACCAAAAAAAGAAGCAACACATAAGGAACAACATCATCATCACCAAAGTAGACTTGCTGCACTCTCTAGTATCAGTTTGTTGTTGTTGTTATTTTTGTTCTTGTCACAACTTATTGTTTAAGAACAACAACATTCACCTATTGTTTTCGGCGAACTTTGGGAGAACTTTCAGCTGTTGTTGTGTGTGAGTGTGTGTGTGTTGTTTTTAACACGCACACGCATAGTGACGTAAAGGATTTGTTTTGACGGCGGCAATTTTGGCAGGCTTGAGAGTGGTTTTTGTTACCTGTCAAAATCTCACGTGAGCATAACATACGAGTATTTTCTTACATCTTCATGGGAGTGTGAGTGTGTGCGTATGTGCATGCCAGAGTTTGGGGATTTATATTGACATGTGAGTGGCAAAAAGGTTACGTGATTCCAAACCCCTTACAAAAAGAAGATTTTTAAATGTTTTTCTTGTAATATATTTCGAGTTGCTGAAAAATAGCATCATCGAAGCTCTTAATAGATTATATTATGGATAGTACGGAAATTAATATCTGCTTGAAATTATAGGTATAAGGGCCAAATTTGACATACTTTACAACATTTCAGCTAAAAACGAAAAATAAATGCTATAATGCTGTCTTTTTAATGCTTCAGTTGAAGCATTGCTAGTCTGTATGACATGAGCCATACAAAAAATAAATAAATAACTTAAATAAAAAGATAACTTCTTCAATACTTTGGATTTATCAACACTCCAAACGCAAACATTCCGCTTATAAACCTATCCATTGAACCAAAACTGAGCTTCGGAATTTTAATACACTCCACCTTGGTGTATAAAATTTGTCATGCCGTAGAACCTATAAATATTCGTCGTAGACCCCATAAAGTATACAGGGTAAGATGATAAAACTGCAACCAACACAATGGCCAACAAAATCTCGGATATCCCGATACCAATCCGATGGACTATTGCGTCTGGAGTATTTTGGAAAGCAAGGTTGGTACTAAAAAATACCAAAGTGTCGATCACCTCAAGCAAGCGCTTCGCCGGGAATGGGCCAAAATACCGCAGAGCAACATTCGAGCAGCGTATGCCCTTTGAAGGCCATAATTCGTGCCAAAAGTGACCAGTTCGCAAAAATCTAAACTTATTCTAATTATTATGCTATTTCCGAAATTTTTCGCTTTCGTTCTATAAAATTTAAAAAAAAAATGTAAAAGTTATGGCGTTTGACTTTGTTGCTGAACTTTGCTGTCTGAATATATTCCGTATAGGTCCAGGTTTTACTATAGCACCCAAATAACGGTACCTTCGGATAGTTGGTGTTTTGACGTAATGGGTTGTAGATCAGGTGGCCGAACATTGTCTACATATAGGTCTACGATTTCATATAGCTCCCATCCAATGGCTCCTCCCAATATTTTTAGGATTTAGGTCACATTTGCTCTCCGAAAATATTTGACAATAAAACCAAAAACGAGAGCTGCGGGATATGTTTATGCTATTTTTGACAAAAAAAAATGTAAATAAAAAATCACCTTTAATTTAAATACAAGATTCAATGCTGTGATCTCTGTGTGCCCTTTCAAATCTCAGCTAAGTGCCTCATATGGTATTTTCTATTCCCAGTCACTTTAACAATTTGCTTATATTCAAAGTTGATTTAAATTTCCGTTGATTTCCTTCTGTTTTTGATTTCTGCGCATTAGTGTGTGTGTGTGTCGTGGGTGCATGTGATTGATTTGTTCACTTCCTTTTGCTTTTCATTCACATCACCTTGTGAACGTGACGGATTTGAAAACGTATGTTGTTACTTTTGTGATTTCTTTGCTTCTTTCTTCATTTCGTTTCTTTTTTCTCTTGGCATTATTGCCAACAAATGAATGCTTTTAGCACCAATAACAATTTGTTTTCATTTTAAGGATATTGAAAGGAAAACACATAAAATAAGAACAACAACAACACCAACAGCAATAAACACATTTCCATCATAAGTGAAAAAACACACACACACACACTATATTAGCAATCGTCGTGTACGTTCTTTGATTTCTCTTCCTTCATAGTATTTGCATAGGTGTTGTTCCATCCTTGTAAATATTTTAAAAGTGTTTATTGAACTCTCTAATAAAGGAATACATCCTGGCGCATAGACCAGCACTTACTGAGGGGAGGGTGCTAGAAATGGATGCGATGTATTTTGCAATACGGAAGGTGAAAATTTAATTCAAATGTCAATGGAAGATTTTAGTTTTTCTTTCTTTTTTTTTTTTGGAGGAAGGAGAAGTCATGGTAAAGAACAGAAAGCAATGATATGTGTAAAAGGATTTCGACACCTTATGTACAGGGTGGGATAAAAAACTGCAACACGCCATAATTTTTACATTTTTTAAATTTTATTGAATGAAAGCAAAAAATGCCGGAAAAAGCATCAAATTTTAAATTAAGTTTAGATTTGTTTGAATTGATCTCCTTGGGCACGAATTATGGCCTTCAACCGACCAATGAAACCGTCACATGCTGCCCGAATGTTGCTCTGCGGTATTTTGCACCTTTCCCGGCACAGCGCTTGCTTCAGGTGATCGACACTTTGGTATTTTTTAGTGCCAACCTTGCTTTCCAAAATACTCCAGACACAATAGTCCAACGGATTGGTATTCGGAGATTTTGGTGGCCATGGTGCACTGGAAATGATGCGAGGAACCTCATTTTGCGCGTGCTGAGTGCGAGTCGCCGGCCAATATGTTTGCGTGCCCAAGGCTTTAATACACCTTCCAGAATATTTTCGCGATCATATTTGACATTTATTCTGATGCCACGGTCGATTAATATGAGCGGAGGGCGACCGTCGGCTGTTATGGCGTCTCACACCATCACCATGGCCGGCGCTTGAGTTATGGTGGCCAACCGAAGGTGCACATTTTCAGCTGACCTCTTTGGTTTACTTGCAGTTTACAAACTGTTGGACAAAGATTTTTTTCTCATCGGAGAAAACCAAATTCAGTAGTTAACCACTTTCGGCCAAGCGAAGCAACTCTTTGGCTCTTTTGAGTCTATTTTCATTCTGTTGCGGCGTAAGTTCTTGCACTTTTGGGAATTTAAATGGCTTTACCCCGAGTTAATTTTTCAATATTTACCGAATGGAATATTGCGAATGTTCAGCTCATCATGGCCACTTCGACGCGGGTTTCGATCAAGTCATTTCTTTATTTTTTGAACCAATTCTGCTGATGTTGCTGTTTTCTTCCGTCCACGGTAACGGTACGAGACACAAAAGATTTATTCCGATTTAAATGCTGGAGTTCTCTAACCATAGCCACTTGTAGTTTTCCACCCAAATATAATGATATCACACTATCCACAACGAATAACTTTTTTTCTGGAAAAATCTCACCAAAATGCTTGCTTGTAAACAATATAATGAGCTGTCACTGGAATAATTTTACAAGCTATCGGTCGAGTGGCTTCGAAATGACAGCAGTCTGAAGTTGGTTGCAATTTGTTCATCTCACCCTGTATAAAAGGATTTCACCCCCTCCCCCATAAGTATGCTTTAATTTTTAAATAAATGTGGATGTTTATCCAAAATTGATCGATGAAATAAAAGTCTCTGAAACCCCTATGTGACGGCTCCGGACACTGCACAAATATAAAAAAAAAAAATATTTTGTAGATTTATTTATTTCCCTTTAGAGACGAAGTTAATTATCTGAAACTTTCAGTGAAAAGGAAAGCCAGATAGACTCTACCATACACTCACAACGGCCCATCAGGCATATTTGGTGTGGCTGATGGCTTACAAGGCCCCTTCTTAGGAAAGTAGTATTTATTTCTAAACTATTGTCATTAAGCATACGCAAATTAAACACCAGAAACCCTCCAATTTCGACTCAAGTTCTATTAGAAAATATTTTTCGCAGCAAAATTTATTTTTGTATTTTTTTATTTTTATTTTTTATTTATCTATTTTTTTATTTTGTCGAGATTTAATTGTGTCTTGTTTCTCTTTAAACTAGTAAATAATTCATTCAGGCATATTATTTTCTTTCCTTGCCTCTTGGGACTTGTATACTTTTTTACTAACTGCCTACGTACACATAAAGTACAAAAACAACAAAACAAAAAATAATAAATTTTTTGATTGAAAAGTTTTTTTGTCTGCCAAGAAACTCCAAAGCTAAAGGAGACATGAAAGAAAAAACTTCTTATAATCTACAGACAACAAAAATCACTTCACACGTTTTCCCAAACGTATTGCACAGAGCAGAATTATTAATTAAATTTGAAAAAAAAAAACACAGAAGCTGAAGAATATTTCCATGAGAAAAAATTCTTCATCTATACATAATAATTTCTTTTTCGTTTTCTTTACTTACCACCATCATTATCGATATTATCCTTGCAATTCATTTCCAAGGCAATGGAACAATCCGAACCAGCCCATCCTTCAATGCAATCACAACGATATTCACCATTTTCCAAAGTGCATTGACCATGACGTGAACAACCATTTTCACAACCAGCTGCAAAGAGAAGTGCATAAAGAAAAAAAAAGCAGTTAAGAAAATAACAAAACAACAACAACAACAAAAAATATGTAAAATACAATGAACCCGTTGAATTTTATATACAAAAAGAAAATGGTAGAAAATATGGCCCACAGTACATAATTAATGAAAAAATCAAGGTTCAATGATTTAAAACTCAATAAATGCCATGAATGGCATGGCATACAAAATATGAACTGTAGCTCTGTCGTGTCGGAAAATAAACTGAAAAAAGAAAAAATCATTTCCAACATGAAACAATGAAGTATAAATTATTTATTCATTGAAATATTTTGTTTTTATGTTTGTCTTTCATGTTTGGTCTGTATGTATGGATGATGGTTTTTTCAGTCATGGGGTTATTGGACTTTGAATAAAATATGTATATTTTTTTCTCTCGTAGAAGGATTATTAATTATTTAAGGAAAATGGTAATTGTTATTTGGAATCTATTCGGCATGGTTTTAAGGAATTTCGTTGGAAGTATTGAAATTTTTATGCATCAACACATTTCGTCTATTTAAGCGACTTGAAATTTGAAATACAAGAACATTTGATTTTTATCAGTTATTGTGAATTAAATAAAACCGGGTTGCAGGGTTACATTTAATTTTGTTTATATTTGCAAAACGCCCCCTACATTTAAAAATCTGTATTTACTTACTTATAATTACATTATACGATTATAATATATATATGATTTATAATTGGAAACACGATTTTTAAGTAGTTAGGGTTAATGTTCCGTTAAAGAATGATATACATACAACTATTCCAATATTTCAAATTTGGATTTATATTTGAATAGCGACCCCTACATTTGATAATATGTAACTTTGTGAAAATACCGTTTTATAATAAGAATACAAATTATTTTGTACTTAAATGAAATAATGCTTCGTTTAAAAATTATTTAGAATTAGAATATTTTACTTCTAGTTATATAGGCAGCGGAAAGCAGAAAAAATTCCCAGTTTAAAAACGGAGAACTCAAGTGATTTATTATAAATTAGCGACAAAATGCTAAGTACGAAATTAAAGTTAAAGTTCCGATGAATCTGCAATAGATTCTAACACAAGATGCTTTATAATGCTCTCGACGAACCCTAAAAGTATGCAAAGAATTTAATTTCTCATTTCCCTTGAGTAAAATCGTAAAGTATAGCATACAAGAATTTTTTTTCTACACCCCAGAGTGCTCCCGCTCAAATTCGAGTAGAAATTGTAAGTGACATATGTCACAATGCTGTTAAAAGATGGGATGTGAATAGTAAAATAAGTAAACATTTGAATGGTTACAAACTAATTTTTACAAATATTTAGTCATGAGGGTCATATTTTTTAAACAAATATTCTACGGCGAGAGCGTTTACTTTACTTCAAACGAACAACTATTGTCTTTTGAAGTGTATTTGCTTGAAATTCTTTCTAGTAATGGTGTTTCCAGTCATGTGTACATTTGCCTAAAACTATGCACCACACTTTACTACCTTAAAGCCTCCTCTCAGCCTTTGGCCAGAAATACAACAATGTTATACTGTAAATTTTTTGGGTTTATTTGTGTCTACACCTTATTTTTTTCCTCCTCATTTTTTTCCCATTTCAAATAGATGACATTGAAGTTAAACTAATGTCTTTGAGAGATATATTTCATTTTGTACACATTTTCATTTTGTTGCATTGCTATGTTGAGAGACACACACGCACGCATACACACACACACACACAGTTAGTATATCTTTCAAACAGACATTTGTCGTCTTGTTATTTTTTAATATTCCCAACATTTCTTAACATGTCACATTATTTGCAAAATGGCAACATGTAACACTCATACACACACGCACACACAACATGAGGCGTCTGGTTTTATTTCAAATATAATTGAAAAGAAATCTCTCAAGGCGTCAACGACGACAAAGACACCGACGGTGAAGACGACAAAAAGCAAATGATATTACATTTAGCATTTGCATTAACAAGTGTCAAACAGCTGACGATCTGTCTGTCTGGTTGTCTAGCATATTAATGTATATTATAGAGAATTTTTGTAAAATGGTGCATACTTTTGGGAGGTTTAAGGAAACGAAAAATATTTAATAAAAAGAGTAATTGCAGTTTCTGAGGGTGAAGAAAAATCGGACTTTAAAAATTTTCTTTTTTCTTCTCTTGTATTTAGTATCAAGAATTTTATTTCATATTCAAATTCTATTTTCTGGCATAATATAAGGGAAGGGTTAACATATTAAAATATTGCTGGGAAATTATATGAAAATTTTGTAATACTTTTTGGATTTGTTTAGTAAAGTGGTGCATATTTTAGGGAGTTTTAAAAGCTCTGAAATTAATGAATATAAAAGGAACTACATTTTTCGAAAATTATATGAACATTTTATTAAATTGTCTCTTTTTTATACCCTCCACCATACTATGGAGGGTATATTAATTTTGTCATTCCGTCTGTAACTCCTCGAAATGCTCATGTCAGACCCAACAACGTATCTATATTCTTGATCAGCGCAAAATTCTAAAACGGTTTAGCCATGTCTGTTTGTGCGCCTGTCTTTCTGTCCGTCTGCCTGTCTGTTGTAATCACGCTATCTTTCGAACGAATTGAGATAGAAAGTTAAAATTTTGAACACATGTATATTTTGCCAGTAGGCAGGTTAAGTTCATAAATGGGCCATGTTATCATATAGCCCCCATATAACGGTACCTCCCGATATTCGGTATTTTGATGATTTTAGCGACACTATTCACCGGAAATGTTTCGAATTTGCTATTTGAAGTTCGTAATGGATACTACAGCCTAAGACAGAAAACTGCCTGTGCATGTCCACGTCTCCGTATGGCCCCCATATAAAGGTACCTCCCGATATTCGATATTTTGATGATTTTAGCGACATTATTCACCGGAATTGTTTCAAATTTGGCATTTGAAGTTCGAAATGGATACTACAGCCTAAGACAGAAAATTCTTTGTGCAGGTCCACGTTATCATATAGCCCCCATATAACGGTTCCTCCCTATATTCGGTATTTTGACGATTTTAGCGACACTATTCACCGGAATTGTTTTAAATTCGGTATTTGAAGTTCGAAATAGATACTTCACCCTAAGATAGAAAATTGTCTGTGTAAGTCCCCGTCTTCGTATAGCCCCCATATAACGGTACCTCCCGATGTTCGGTATTTTGATGATTTTAGCAACATTATTCACCGGAAATGTTTCGAATTTGCTATTTGAAGTTCGTAATGGATACTACAGCCTAAGACAGAAAACTGTCTGTGTAGGTCCACATCTTCGTATGGCCCCCATATTAAGGTACTTCCCGATATTCGGTATTTTTGATGATTTTAGCGACATTATTCACCGGAATTGTTTCAAATTTGGTATTTGAAGTTCGCAATGAATGCTTAATCCTAAGACAGAAAACTGTTTTTGCAGGTCCACGCCTTCGTATTGCCCCCATATAACAGTACCTCCCCATAATCGGTATTTTGATGACTGTAGCTACATTATTCACCGATTTTTTTCTAAGTTTCGTATTTGAATATTGTAATGGCTTATGAAAAAATTACCTATGCAGGTCCATGTCGTCGTATTGACCCTAATATAACGGCTACATTCGGTATTTCTAAGATTTTAACGGATTTTATTGTTTTTGAGAATTACGAAATTCGTTCCAAATGGTGGAGGGTATTCAAAGTTCGGCTCGGCTTTTTTACTTGTTTAATATTAATATAGACCTTAATTAATTCTTGTAAAGTGGTGCATACTTGTAGGAGTTGCAAAGAAATTAAAATTAATAAAAAACTCAATGTAAAATGAAAATGGAACTTTACAAATTAGTTTCCGTTTATTTCTATATTCATGAACAAGGTAAAAGATATTTGTTTTTGGAGATTTTTCATATTGGAAATATTACCTTGACGTACTTATAGAACTTGCTTAGGATACTGACTCTGTAGCATATTTAGCAATGGTGAACACCACGTCACGTTTCGATGCATATTTTCAGCATTCTTTTTTTAATGTCATTTTGCTTAGTGTATCAAATAATTATATTTTTCTTTATTTCTATATTAACCAATAAAAGTTTTTGTTTAGTTTCAATACAAAAAAAAAAAAACTAAGAAAAACTATTAAAAGAGTTTGAAATTGTTTTTATCCATTTTCCCATGGTGATTGCTTTTAGTTGATATTTATTTATTTATTTTGTACCATCAACTTTGTGTTTGTTTTTTATTTGCAATTGTCTGCAAAGTTTCAAATTTGATTTTATTTATATTTATGCAATACAAAAGCCACAATTCCCAACCATTACTAACTCCTTTGTTATTGAAAGACGATTGGAAAAAATCAATATATATCCTGTTCGGTGATTCTTTTTTTTTAGTTGTCTCTAAGAGTTTCAGTTTTTATGTGGTCGTGGGATTGGTACTTACGCAATGTGCAATGTCTTCCATTCCATCCTTGGGAACAAACACAGGTGCCATTTTTACATTGTCCATGCTCTGAACAGCGGGCATCACAGGGCAATTGATCACATAGATTTCCGGTCCAACCAGGATTGCAACGACACTTGCCAGACTCACAAACGCCATTGGGACCGCAATCTAAACTGCAAACAGCTGTTTTTGGGGCGGAGAGAGAGGGAGAAAAAAGAAAACAACATTAGGTAAGATTTGGTTATTGAAGTGTAAGATGTAAGTTAAAGGTAAATACAGTCATTATTTAAAGCATATTTTAAGGAGTAAGTTAAATATTGTTTGAACATAAGATATCTTTAAAAATAAGATATTTTTTAGAAATCTGACCACGGGTTAAGAATATATGATATGTTTAGTTATAATTTACTTTTACCTATTTCCGCCAAAAACGGAATTTTATATTACTTTCAGGCGTTAAATCGAAAAAAGTCCCTTTAAAAATGAATCCAAAAAAATCAGTAAATGTTTTGGTTTTTTAGAACCATTAATGGGAATATTTTTTAATATACAGGGAGATGAGAAAACTGTAATCAACTTCAGATTGCCGTCATTTCTAAGCCACTCGTCCGACAGCTGTTAAAATTATTCTAGTGAAAGCTCATTATATTGTTTACAAGAATACAAAAGCATTTTTGGTGAGAGTTTTTCCGAAAAAAATTTGTTCGTGATGGAATTCAAGCGTGATAGTGTTATTCCTTTATATTTGGCTGGAAAACCACAAGTGGCTATCGCATTTAAATGTGAATAAATCTTTTGTGTATCGTACCATCGCTCCTTACCGTGATATTGGTAACGTAGCCCGACGTCAAGGAGGTGGAGGAGCAACATCAGCAGAAATGGTTCGAAAAGTAAAGAAGCGGCTTGATCGAAACCCGCGTCGTAGTGGCCGAAAAATGGCTCGTGAGCGGAACATATCGCAATATTTTATTCGGCAAATATTGAAAATGAGTTCGGGGTAAAGATATTGAAATTGCAAAAAGTGCAAGAGCTTACACCGCGACAGAAAGAAAATATACTCAAAAGTGCTAAAGAGTTGCTTCGCTTGGCCGAATGTTGTGAACTGCCGAATTCGGTTTTCTCCGCTCCGATGAGAAAACATTCGTTGTCCAGCAGTTTTTAAACAAACAAAATGATCGTGTTTACTTGTCAAAGAGGTAAGCTGAAAATGAGCACCCTCGGTTGGCCACCCGAACTCAAGCGCCGGCCATGGTGATAGTGTAGGCTGCCGTAACAGCCGATGGTCGCTCTCCGCTAGTATTAAGCGACATCAGATGGTATCAGAATAAGTGTCGAATATTATCGCGAAAATATTCTGGAGGGTGTATTAAAGCCTTGGGCACGCAAATCATTTTGGCCGCAGACTTTGGACATTCAAACAGGACAAGGCACCCAACAATGGTTACAAAATGATGTTCCTCGCTTCATTTTCAGCGCACAATGGCCACCAAAATCACCGGATACCAATTCGTTGGACTATTGTTTCTGGAGTATTTTGGAAAGCAAGGTAGGCACTAAAAAATACCAATGTGTCGATCACCTCAAGCAAGCGCTTCGCCGGGAATGGGCCAAAATACCTTAGAGCAACATTCGGACAGCGTGTGGCGGTTTCATTGGCTGTTAAAAGGCCATGATTCGTGCCAAAGGTGACCAATTCAAACAAATCTAAACTTATTCTAAAATTTTATGATATTTCCGACATTTTTTGCTGTCATTCAATAAAATTTAAAAAAAATGTAAAAATTATGACGTTTGACTTTTTTGCAATGTTTTTTATCTCACTCTGTATTTATCAAAAGTGGATTTTCACTTACCGAATAAATTTTGAGTTCCTATAAACACCTCTTCGTACTTCATTTCCTCCCGGATACCAGTTAAGTAATATAATGTAATGATTCACAATCGAATTTTTATATTTAAAATATCCATTATAAAACCTCAACCCCCGCCTAATATTTTTTTATCTGCAGTTTCACAACAAAATTGATAAGAAAATCCATTCAACATAATTTGCAGTCGGCGTTATCGAACACCGGCATACAAACAACATGTCTTTTAAAATCCATTTCTCAACAAATTGAGTTTATTAAAACTTAACCTTGTCAATTCTTTATGAACTTTCAAATCTCTAAATTTCAGACATGAACTACCCTCCCTCCTCCTCTCACTCTCTCTCTCTCTCTTTGGCAAAAATATCGAAATTATATTTTATGTTATTATGAAGTCGTTCTATGGCCGTGCCTTTAATTCACCTTAAACGAAAACAATCACCTATATCTAGAGGATAAATACTTATATGTATGTGTAAACACACACACATCCATACACCAAAAAGCCAATATGTCATATAATCACAGACACAAAATCTCATACACATTGAAAGTACATTAACCCTTTTATGGAGGAAAATTGAAAAAAAGAAAGACACAAAAAAAACAAGCCAACAAATTTTTGTTGAAAAAGTTTAGACCAGGTTATTTGCCAATCAATGTATTTGTATGTGTGTGTGAGAATGGGTTTGTGTGTGCGGTATTGAATACATTTGATTGTAGGGTTGTTGTTTAAGCGTAACGAAAGATAAAAAACTAAACCAGACGCCAGTCAACCTGACTGAATATGATTATAGAGGCAACACACAATCATACAAACCGACAGACAGCCACACGAAAACAGGAGGTATTTACGCCGCAGACTAAGCCATGTGTTTGGGTGCTTAGATAGGTATATATGTATGTTTGTGTGTGTACATATATCTAAGTGTCTGTGTTGAAGTTTATTTTTCAAATGTTTTGCCATGTAGAAAAATCAATGATTGAGTTTTATGCCCTGATATAGCTACAAATATGTATAGATACGTATATAGAGCAGGCATATGATAAAAATAAACCTTAAATGCCTGGCTATACAAAAAAAGAAAAGGTGAACTGAATTATAGTTCAAATAGCTATATTAAGTATGAGAAGCAAAGGAGTTTTCTGTGCCATGTTAAGCCTTGAATCAGGATTTTTGTCTATACAAATATGCTACGTTTTGGCTTTAGACAGTGTTGTGCCAACTTGACTTATTTGCCTGCAAGGCATGTAGGGATTTTAAAACTGACTTTTGACTGAATATTGTTGCGGGTGGAGTGCAAGTGAGTGTCTGAATGTGTCTTAATTTGAAAAGAAACTAACACTACTTAAGATATAGTCTTTATGGCAAACTCCTCGGGTTGATGAGCCTGAGCTTTTTTTCTTATCTCCTTGTTCTTTAGAGGAGCTAGGCAAGAAAATCATATTGCAGACAGGTTATTATGTGAAGAAATAAAGGGTTATCAATTGGGAGTTACTTAAAATGGAAATGCATTCTTAGAAAAATGTGTTAAAAGATTTAAAATAAGTAATTTTGAAAAAGGACGGCAAATAGAGGTCTGATTCACATGTTTAAGTACTTTACATACACATGTGTTGTTTAATATGATAGGAAATTGAAAAAATAAAATTTTCGGTCTACCGATTTGTATTCCAAAATGAGGGAGGTTTTTACTATATGGAAACTAAACTAAATTAAGTACCTATATCGGATATCTTCGGAAAAGCGATATTTTCTGAGGACCTAATATATCAAATCATCTAAAATGTACTAAAAATTTACTACTCTGTGCTAGAATGAGCTAGAATTTTGGAATGAGAATCACTAATGGGAAGCAGGATAGATGAATCAAACAGTTTTTGGAAAATGGTACCGTTTGGTATTACGTGAACGGATAGAGCTAAAATCTTGAAATCTGATATAAGAATCAAGGTTATCCACGTAAATTTGACATGTGAAGGTAGTTTTGGTACTATGTGTACTAAGTGTGCCAACTGTACTAAATAGTTCTTAATTGGAAACAGTTTGGTTTAGGGAGAACGGATGTAATGAGGAGAATTTCGTATTGAGGTCTCTGTTTGTGGTAGGTTTGTGTGCAAATGTGTGCTATAATTGTACGAAAAGTACTAAATTGTACTATATTTGGTACATTTTGGTCTTGGGTGAACAGATAGTGCTTGAAGTCTGATATTTGTCATTAGAATCGCTATTCATTTGAAGCCTGGACTTACGGAGGTGGTTTCGGAAATGTGTACTATTACTGTACGAAAATCACTAAATTTAGTCGCTGTTGGTATCTGTGCTTAAGATATGGTGGTGGTTTTGGAAATGCGTACTATAATTTCTCGAAAAGTACTAAATGGTACTAAATTTGGTCTTTGTTGAAGGCATAGAGATTAAGTTCTTAAATTTGATATTTTTATAATATTTGGTATCTGAGGTTGAGATTTGCCGGTGGTTTGGGAATGTGTTCTTTAGTTGTACGAAAAGTACTAAAGGTTATCCAATTTGGTACTGAGTGAATGCAGTGAGATTGTATTTCCAAATTTGATGCTGAGGTTTCTGTTGGTATGTGGAATTGAGATATAGAGGTGATTTTGGAAATGTCTACCATCATTCTACGAAAAATGGTACTAAATTTGGTATTGATTGAAAAAAATATAGATAAAATTCGGAAATTTGATATTTTTATAACATTTGGTATCTGAGGTTGAGATTTGGCGGTGCTTGGGTAATGCGTCCTTTAATTGTACGAAAAGTACTAAATGGTACCAAACTTGATATTGAGGCCTCTATTGGTATCTGGAAGTGAGATTTGGAGGTGGTTTTTAAATCGTGTACCATAATCGTACGAAAAAGTCCTAAATGGTATTAAAATTGGCCTTGTTTCAACATATAAAGATAAAATTCTAAAATTTCATATTTTTATAACATTTGGTATCTGAGGTTGGGATTTAACGACGGCTTAGAGTTGCGTCCTTTATTTTTGCGAAATGTACTAAATTGTATTAAAGTTAGTATTAAGTGAAGAGATCCCAAAATTTGATATTGAGGTCTCTGTTGTTATCTGTGATTGAGATATGGAGGTGGTTTCGAAAATGGGTACCATAATTGTATAAAAAGTACAAAATAGTACAAAATTTGGAATTGAGTGATGGAATAGAGCTTAAATTCTGAAATTTGATGTTAAGGTTACGATTGGTTTCTAGGGATAAAAAATTGGATGTTAGTCCATTGTGAAATGATTTTACTACAATCCTCCCCGGTAAGCTTTAATATGAAAGATATTATAG